TATCTATCTATCTATCTATCTATCTATCTATCTATCTATCTATCTATAGATAAATCCTTGACGTGGCAATCTCTTAAGGGTCTCGGCCTGTCACTGGAAGCCTCTGACTGAGCTGTTCCTTTCCTTTCTAGTGTTCATTAATGTTTTACATTTAAGTGAAATGACAGGGAGGGTATAAAAAGAAGGCTCGTAGGTTGCAAAGTGGTCTTCTGGGGTCTGTTTATTCTCATTTTTACAAGACTTGTAGTAATCTAAAACTTTGGCGTGTGCCCATTTACAGTGTCTTCAAAAGAAAGTAAGGGAAATCTATAATTAGTGAACGCGTTACGTTCTTAACAGCCTCTTCAAAAAGCTTTCCCTGCTCTATTTCTACCTTGTGTGGCGGACATTTTGGGGTATGGGCACTGTAGCCTTGATAAACCTTAAAGCATTGGGTGGGCATGTTTATATGGATAGTTATTGTCCATCTGTCAGCCATCAGATGTGTCAAGTGGATTTTGTGGCAAAACAGCATCATCAGCACCAGGCAGTTGGAGTACAACAAAAACCATGTTATTAGTGAATAACCCAAAGCAATTAGAGGTCAGCTTTTGTCCCAGAAAGCTCTTCTGCAAATTTGCTGGGTATTTTTCATACGTTTTCGTACTTTCTGATACAACATGTTATAATGGCCCGCTGCCCCGAGAGTGTTGTGGGTGAAGGTTTCAGTGGGAAGGATATCAGCTCTCCAACGGAGGCCTCAGTTTAAGGATTTCAGATAAACTGTAAATGCCAACAGGTGTTCGATTCTCTGTGTCAGGCAGTTAGATTTATTTCTCACTAAATAGTTTTAAATGTGACTCTTTATTGAGCTTTAGAATCCATACAGAACGGTTTAATATAATAGGAAACAAGTAAATTTTTGAGTCCCAAATGTCCCAAAACAAGACATTGGAAAAGTGTGAAACTTTGTTTCTCCATGAAATCGTAGCTATAATGGTAAAAATATTCATTTTGTGTGACACAGAACGACAGTATCCACAATAAACTATTGCATAGCGCAAAAAGTTTTGTGAACGTGTGTACACCACGATGATTTGTTCACTTCCCGACCTCCCCTAACCTTGTTTGTTTTTTCAGGCGGCAGGCAGTATATTATGGCACATAACAGACAATTTTTCATGATCATCAATTACAGACAGTTTGAGTTTGATCCAAAGTCTTGGCATCCAGCTCCTCTTCGTTTTGAATACAGCTGGCAAAATTTCAAACCTTTTTCCCCAGACAATACTTAACTTTGAAAAAGGGAAAAAGAAAGAAAGAAAAAAGAAAGAAAGAAAGAAAGAATGAAAGAAAGAAAGAAAAAGGAACACGACAGAAAGAAAACAGGAAGAAATGTAACTGAATTCATTATAAACACTCTCCGTCACATTCTGGATGGATCCGCTTTTCTGTGAAAAACAAGTTAAGTTGTTTCTTGGTGGTTGCTTTGCTCCATAGAACAAGAAACTCCTCCCAGTGATCTTGAAGTTTTTAATCCAATGTTTTAGTGTGAGAAGATGGCTTCTACACCAGCTAAACGACAAAAACAGTCAATCCTACACATAAATTCTCCCTTGTTTACTGAAACTTTCTGAGACTAGAAAATGTAAGCTTTTGACTACTTAAAGTATCAGTCTGAGAACACCAAACTTAGTTTTAATACTTGCACATTCAAATCTATCAAATATATATTTCTTTTTAGTGTTTGTGTTTAAAAGGGATTGAAGCTATTTCACTGAATTAAATTAATTTGAAGACATCAATGCATCTCATTCTTTTGCCTAATTCTTTTGTCTCATTCCAAGTCCAAGTGGATCACAAATATTTGACTATGTGATGTGTCTTAACTGAATTCAATTGAGTTTGTGGATTTAGGTGAAGAACTACATTCTTCCCCAAACATGACCACGACCTTTTGGGTGCTAGCGCGAATGTGATACAATGGCAGTAAAAAGCCTGAAATGCATTGACACAGATGATTATGCTCTTATTGTGACATTAGTCAGTCCATACATTGATGCTACATGCAAGTTTTTAGTGGACATTTCTTTTTGCTATGAATAACCTTCTGTTTTCTACATTGGTTTTTAAATTGCACTCTTGGTATCATTAGGCCATTACAGCAACCATGAAAGTGTGTATAATGGTGGATCAATGGAATATTTTGCCATAATGCATTTCCCTTGACATTCCCTTCCAGGCTGCAAGCCTCAGAAAATTAACAATGTTAATAATACTGCAACAGAGGGGGAAATTTTGAAATGATTAGATGTGTTTTACTTTGCTGCTGATGGAAATGTGGTGAAAGGGAATCAGGGTCAGGGATAGACTTGCCGTGCAGCATGACTTTGTGCTATTTTTCCAGGCTGTGTGGTCAAAGATTCAGAGAGCTTGTCAACGGAAAATGGGGAAGCGAGAGAAGTGGGGGAGAAGAGAGAAAGAAGGAGATGTATAGACTGTAAGACTGTGAAGAAGGGAGACAGGGTGAATTATATAACACACTTGAATATATCATGGTCATTCGTTTGGCTGTAGATGCACAAATGACCATATAATATCGTGTACTAGAATTGTGTACTGATTCTGGTACACAGCATTAATAATTCATCCCATTAAAAGCCAAGAAGGAGAAATAGCAACATGGTTTTTTATTTAAAATCACCTTTCTTTCTTGAGTGTTCTGTCTCTACTTTGGGGCACGTTGGTGGCTTTGAGTCATTTTGCCATTTGCAGATTGCATTTATACTAATGGATACAACACTTTAAGGCCCTGAACTGGGTGGTAATCACATAAAACTAGTAAACCTATGCATATAAATATGGATAAAAAATTGGCATAATGTTTCCTGTCCTTATTTCTAAAAGCGCATCCCCACCCTCAGTGATGTCTACTATGTTTCCATATCATTGTGTTGCCTCTTGACCGCAAATCTCAGAAATAATCCCACATTGTTCTGGGAGACATAATTGTTTTCCTCTATGTGAAACTTTTACTGTTTCCAAAATGACAAATGAGTTATTATATTGGGCAACATGCTGAATATGCTGTTTGTCATTCCGAGTATTACGCACAAGTATCAGCTCTAGAAAATACAGAAGTACATTTACTCCCAAACAAATCCCAGTCCACCGCCTTCATGCTGTATACAAGATGACATCTGGCCTGTAATCTCCCTG